CTTTCGCCGCGACGATCCCAAAACTTCGTCGCGGCGAACTCCAATCTTCGCCACGGCGAAAGCTTCCCAAGAGGAAACTCTCACTCGCCCAGAAAATATTCGCCGCGGCGTCCCCAAAACTTCGCCGCGGCCAAACTTGCCCGAAAGACAACCCTCCCTGGAACTCCCGGTTCGCCGCGGCGAACATACCCTGAGATAGGCACGTTCACCTATTCCTCCAATAAACCTCAATTCAACCCAAACACCAAGATCAACACTTAAATCACTAATCTATCCTCAAAATCAACCAAACGAGGTTATTAAAACCCAATAAAACTCAGGACGTTACATCCTCAAAGACCAGTGTAAAACGTCCGAGCAACATCTAGTATAAAAGTTCTCTAGCAAAGGTTTAACCTAACCAGTAATGTATGGATCTATTGGATCAATATATAGCAGTGGTAATGTATCAAAGAATCACACATGCTTATAACAAGTTAAACATATTTATCCTTTGTAACTTTGTGTAAACTTATAAATAACCCACATGTTATGTCTTTGTGTATAACTTTAGAATAGTCTATTACGGGACACGTGTTATCATACCATTGTATACTTTTTTATATACGTTGAATACATAGGCATGTAACCTTATTTATTATAGAGCATATTTTATTATTTTATTAGACTTGTGACTTGGTATCAGAGTATAAACATTAACAATGATATTAGCTTTTGTAATTTTTGTCTCAAGTCACCTACACATACTCAAGATAGACCTAAGTACATGCATGAGGAGCCAAACATGGATTTTCAAAATCCAATTTAAAGCGTTTGAGTAACACTTGTTATAGAGTGGCTCAAGCTCAGGTTTAACTTGCTTAGCTACATATGGATCTATTAGATCACTAGCAGCCACAAGATAAGTTAGCCAATATGCATTTAAATGTATTGTTCTTTAAATTAGCCATGAGTTGCTTTGCAATTTCTATTAGAACTTGTTGGTTGAGAGGAATAAGAAAATAAAACAGAGTTAAAGGTAACATGGCCTGTTATTAAAAAAAAAAATCTAACAACAATAAAAAATAAGTAAAGAAAACTTACTATTAATGTAAATTTGTTATAGCATTAGTAATATAGATTTAATTATTAAATTTGAATGACATTCATAAATTTGAATTGACAAGAAAAGAAGGATTTTCTACACATATCATCTACTCTCGGCTAATTAGTGTACATGCATCAGGACCTGTACCAAGCTCCTCAAAGGCCAATATAAATCATAGGAGCAGCATCTGCCATATAAGTCATCTAATAAAAGCTTAATCTGTCTAGCTATAAATAGATCCATGGGACCCATTATCGCCATAATATGTGTTAGGTAGAAGACCTTTTCAAGCGTATTTTTCTCAAAGTCTTGCGTTAGATACTCCATAATTCTCATTAGAACCAGTTGGCTGAAAGGGATATGAGTCATTAACAGAGTCAATAAAAAAGGCTGTTAACATTAAAAAAAACTAAAAGTTACTATGATAAAGACATAAAATAATTAAACATAGAAAAAAAAATATAGATTACAATTGTAATTCAGATTTATAATTTTAACAAAATATATTTATATTATTTTATTACATTTGTAACTTGGTATCAGAACATAAACATCAGTAATATGAATGTAGTAACATATGCTCAGGACAGATTTAAGTACATGTATGATGACCTAAATACAGATTTTCAAAATCCAATCCAAAACATTTGAGCAACAGTTGTTATAGAGTTGCTCAAGCTCTGGCATGCTAATATAAAAAAATTAATCTAATAACGATAAAAAATAAGTAAAGAAAACTACTAGTAATGCAAACTTGTTATAGCGTTGGTAGCATGAAATTGATGATTCAATTTGAATGACACTCATAAATTTGAATAGTTTGAGCCTCCAACACCTACCAATGGTTTTGCAAATTGAGTAAACATGTATCATGCACCCAGTTTAATTTGACTGTGATATTATGTATATATTTAATAATTATCTTCCTATTCAACTCATTATTAAAGGATATTAAATTGTTGGATTCACTATTTTTTATAAGCTTCCTTGATCAGATTATCTTTCCAAAGGATTGGCTTTTGCTTATAGTCTCCCTTAATTTGGTTGTTGTGACATGGGTTTTGTTTTGATAATTTAGAAATTAGATACTCTAGTCTTATTTCTTTTTTTGTATTCCTTACTGTGATATCCTTATTTGTTCTTCAAGTAAGAACATTTCTCCTAGTGCCGCACTGATGACGATATATCTTGAAATCTAGATGGCTTTTCTGTCTTGATTTTATATTTTTTGACCTCTATCCTTTCCCTGTTGATTTATGTTTATCTTCTATTAAATTCTACATATGTAAAGTATCATCATAACTCTTATCATCATCTTTACCTGCATTTATAGATACTAATATTCAATAGTGTGTTAAATTTTAAAACTAGAGAATTTTTTTTTAAAAAAAAAAATTCATGCGATCTTTCATATTGTTAAGATTTTTGGACTAGCGTTACAAAGGAATTGCTCATGGAATTGGTCAATCAGAGATATTAGGACGAATACATTTAGCCCTAGTCAAGATAAATATTATTTTAACAGTTTTTGTTGTAAGGATTTTTAGGTGGATTTTTTTGGTGATTTGTATAGCTCTCTTTCAAACTTACAGATTTAATTAACACTTTTGTGTGCTATACTCACTTACTTAGAAAAAGACCTACCATCTCAGTTTTTAGATGAAGAAAAGTATGCTAAGGAAGCATCCAGCTCGCGTGGCCTAGCAAGTATGCCTATGGTCGATTGAATTTAACAAAGCAAATGACTTTAAAGCTTGATTTTGCATTCTAAATTTATTTTTATATCACATACTACTAACGTTGTGTTTGGCTTGACGGAGGGAAGGGGAGGAGAGGGATTTTAATCAAGAGAAAGGAAGGGGAGGGTAGCTACAAAGGGAAGAGGAGGGAGGGGGAAGGGTGGGAAGAGATTTTAATAATCTCCTGTTTGGACTGATTAGAGGGGAGGGGAGGGAGCCATTTTAATGATACCTTATTTTATTCTAATAAAAAAGTACTGTAGAGAGAGTTCAGTTCCTTTTCAATTTGTAATAATAAATAATGAAATAAGTTGTAAGATCGCTTACTATCAACTCCAATAATAAGAATGGAGTAGGGCATGGATAAAAGTCAAAAAATAAATAAAAAAAACATAGAAATAATCCGCAAGAAAGGCTTCATTAATAAAAAAATTGTGTGGAGGAGTGTAAATTAGTCTAATTATCTCAATTCACAAAAAAAAAAAAATTGGGAGAGTGTAAAATTTAAGATGTGGATTTCAAGTAAATATATATTATTTTGTGTTGTAATTTTTGTTTCCAAACTGATTTGCTTGCATATGAATTAAAACATTTCATTTTAGGTATGGGTGGTGGGGAAGATTCAAACCTAACAAAAGTAACAAAAAGAAGAATAAATCCAAAATGTTAACAATTAATTAGGTAAGAGTAAGGTTGTACGTAAGGGATCGGGAATGTATAAATCCATTGGACAGTGAACAAATTTGGAATTTCCCAGCCTTTTTTTTTTGGGACAAGCCACTCCACTTTACAACAGACTAATCAACTTCTCTGTTGTGACCATCTTACCCACTTCACCCTCCCCCTCCGTAATGTATCCGTCTTCTACTTTCTAATCATTTCTTTATTATTAAGAAAAATTACCCATGAATCCCAAATATAAAAATTAAATATAAAAATTCAAAAAATAAAATCATTTTTAATGAATTTTATAATATCTATCTTTTTTTACCAGCATTTATAATATTTATCCGTAAATTGCAAGTCTAACTTACAAAAATGAATTACTAGCCCTATCCGTAATATATTCCTCCGGTCTTAAATATAAAACTCTTTTTATAGTGTAATTTACACTACAAAAAAGATTTTATATTTAGGATCGGAAGAGTATTTTTTAAATGGGACCTACAGGTACTTTTTCCTTTGTGTTATTGCTAATTAGTAATTATTCAACCAGGCTTTGAGATAAATTTTCCGTTTGCATCCATGATCCACTAAAAACAATGACTTTGCACTTGAAATACTATTTTTATCCCGTTTTAAATTATTCTAAAGCATTTTGTTCTTTCTATTTATTTTATTTTAAATGTTATTTTCGTCATATAACTGATAGTTTTTCAAATGAGTAATTTTTTATAGATAAATGGCAAAAAGAAATTTTTATATAGATAAAGATCAAATTAAAATAAAACAAACTTAGAACTAAATATATAAACTTGAAGCTTTTTCCCGATGCAAAATTTGAATTTAACTTATCAAAATCGACTTTAAGATTAAATTAAGAGATATTTATATAACAAATTAAAGTTTTAAATCAAAGTAATAAATCAATTCAAATTAAATAAAGTAATGGATAATAGATTTAATAAAATTAAAGAATCACAAAAGCATACTTTTGCACGCCCAAAACAAAAAACAGAGATAAGCTAATAATGATAGTGGTATCTTCAAAGCTATATCTTTTCGCATCGATTTATTTATTTTGGGCCAACCTCATTTTATCTACTTATTCGCACACAATATATCCCCCAAAAAAAGATGTTTCATTTTGCTTTTATACGATAAAGAGATGAGAAAAAGTGAGTAATCTTTATAAAAAAAAAAAATTTGGATAGAATCAAAACTATGATTTTAAAAGTATTTTTATGATTTTAAAAGTACTTTTACGGTATATGAAATAAATATATAAAAAAATTATCTCAATTTATAAAAAAAAGTTTTGGAAAAATATTTTTTAAAGTGTCCAAATACTTTTTAATTATTTTATTTTATTTTTCACTATTTGATGAGAAGACAGAAACTGACCGTTTCGAAATAGCTTTCCTTGTAAGCGAGAAAATAAAAACGACCCATTACGCCACAACTGCGTGTAACCGTTATATAAGTACTTAAATACCCTCCTCCTTCACAAATAGCTCACTCACCCACTGTTTCCCTTCATCTCATTCTTCTCCTTCTTCCTTCGTCTCTTTGGCTTCACGTTTTTCCCAGAAAGCGAGATCACTTTGCTGGTTCGATCTACGATCGGATCGGAATTCCTGAGATCATGTGCTGCGGAGGAAGGATGTGTATGCTGTGCACGTGCGTCATTCTCGTCGTCATCTTGATCGGGTTGCTTTTCGGGTTCGGAGTCTTCACCCATGGCTTCCACAAGCTCAAGGACACCTTCAGTTTCTGCGATCCCTCCGTCTCTGGTAGTTTGTGCGGGCATGCAAAGGGAAGACCCTTCCTGGGTCACGCACCGCCTCCATTGTACTAGGGCTTTTATTTGTTTCCCCCTTCTATGTTCATTCCCGATCCGTTCTTTCTCAGTTTCTGGGGATTTATTTCGAATCGTAGGTTTAGGGTTTTCTTAATTTTTTAATTATTATTACTTTAATTCGAATTGAACATTGCTGTTCTGGTATCTGTAACTATCATTCGCCTCTTCTTGGGGATTCTTGTTTGTTTATATATTAAATATTGCTCTCTCTGGTGTTGCTCTAATCTGCTGTTTGTTGCGTATGTACAAGTTTCGCCGATTTGAAATTTACAGTGCAGGGAATTCGTTGCGTCCTTACCCGAATTTCATCTGAGATTCCGAATACTGTAAAGTAGTTCAGTGATAGAAGATTAAATTTTCTGCTGATCTGACAGCCAATGAAAGTCGATAATGGGTCCTCTCTTTATTTAAAGAATTTTGAAGAATCTCTCCTATTCTACTTTTTGAGTTTTGAGAGATAACGTAAAATATGTGTAAATGCGAATCAAGCATATGATTGTGCATTGAGGATGAGAATCTGGGAATATAATAGGGGAGTGCTGATATCGATGATCTAACCTTATGAAACTTTCTGGGATATTTTGAAAGTTTAAATAACACTTTTTAAAAGTAAAAAGTGTTTTTATGGAAATTCAAATAATCTTTTTTCAAATATATTGTAAAATTATTTTTAAAGTTATAAATTTTTTCCCCTTAAGTGACCCTTGCATCTGAGATTTGGTCAGGCAACCACAGACGATAAATTTATGATAAATTAAACCCTGAGCATCATAATATTAGACAGTCAAGTAATTAATTTTCAAAACGTATTTCAAACGAATTTTATGCATTACAAATTTATGTCTCAAGTACTTAAAAGTTACAGCAAGTCCATGATTGGTCGCCTCCCTTCCACGGCATTAAGCACTAACACATACTCAAATAGATGAAATTATATGACATTAAGTATAATATTTGAAGTTTAATTTTTAAAATAACAATTATTATTATTGGCCTAAAAAAGTATCATTTGATATTAATGGGTTAGGTCTGGCCAACAAAAAAAAAAATTTAAGGGGTTAGGATTAAGAGACCAAAATATATTTTATATAATTAAATGACCGAATTAAATTTTTTTAATAAAATTATAGGGGACAAAGTGCACTGTTGCCAAAACTATTTTATTTTATGAATATATGTATAAATTTCAGATTGAGGCATTAAAATGTGCCAAAATCATTTATATATTAGTGCCATGCGGTAAAAGGCATGTCAAATTTAAATAGTTCTTCTTTTTTAAGAATTTTAAAATAGTTCTTATTATGTATTTCAATCAATAAGATCCGTACGTAACTCAAAATAAAATACTCAGCTATATAATATTATCTTTAGGCAACTCAGAATGACCAACAATTCATTCTGGACCGGAATTCTTTGACCTACTTTACTCTCAAGTCATTTAAACTTGTGTAATTTGGCCGTTGAAGCTGCCATCCCACGAGACAAGAGTACAAAGAGTCAAAGACAAGGGGATCGGGTTAAAAAAAAGAAAGAAAGTATAAAGACATGGGGAAAGAGCGATCTGACAATACGGCCATGGTGACGGGGCACGGAATCCTTCGTTGAAATGGGTTACGGTTAGTTACGACGTGTTTGCCTTGATTTTTTAAAAATAATTTTATGAATTTTCGGCTAAATTTATAAGAAAAATTTTGTCTCAACTTATTTAAAAATATTTTTAAATGATTTTTGTGTTGCTAAAAACCCTTTTAAAATGAGTGGTACCTGCTCAAAGTGAGTTCTTAATTATTTTTGAGCAATAACTAGTATTCCTATATTTATATTTATAAAGTACTTCCAACATATTTTATATAGATTAAGAAAAATTTTAAATTGCATTAACTTTTTATTAAAATATAATAACTTTTTTAATTTTATCCTTATTTTATATATACGTTTTAAAAAATAACTATTTACATTATAATAAATAAAGAATAAAATAATACATTCATACTAAAAATTTAATAAAGTGACTTATAAATAGGACTAAAAAAATCTTTTCTCTTTACCTTATAAATAAAACCAGAGGAGTACTTATCTGATTTTATTCATAGGTCACTTCCAACATGCTTTCCACAAACTAGTAATAACCTTAAATTTTATTGACTCTTATTTAAAATTCAACAACTTATCAATTTTATCCCTATTTAATATATAAAGTCAACATAATAGTAAATAAAGGATAAAATTGTATATTCATATAAAAAATTTCTCTCACTATTCCATAAATAAGACTAAAAATATCTTCTCTTTCTATCCTATAAATAAAACTGAGGAGTATTATATAGAAAAAGGGAAGGGTCCTACAAATTCAAAATACAAAATGACAAGTTAATAAGAAAGAGTTTGGTTAAAGGGAATGAAGGGACGGTAGGGGAAAAAAACTAAAAAGAAATATAAAAGTGAAGTTGTAAGTTTTTTTCCCTGTTACTTTCTTTTTTATATATTCCTTTTATTGAATTTTTTAAATAATTTCACTTGTTTATGTTCATAAATTGTTGGAGATTTATTTGAAATTTTTGACTGGTTTTTAAATCAAAGAATATAATTGGGGATTTGTTTTAAGACTAGAGATCTATTCGTTTGAAGATTGATCAAGGTTTTCAAAACAACTGTTGATTTTAAAATTTTGGATTTAGTATTTGAGGTGTTATCGGCAGTTTTGAATTTACATGGGCCTTTTGATAAAATTGAGTCACATGAGCTTAGATTCATGGCTTTTTTTTTTTTTCCCGCTTAGAGATTTTTTCAAGCTTTGTTTTAATAGAGCCAGGGCTAAAAATTAATTAAGGTGTCCAAATAAAATTTGGTGAATTTCTTTACACTAAAATATTTGAATATTTTTTGATTTTTTGAATAAATAATATTGTTATGATATTAAATAATGTAAGACTCATTTTGTAATATAATAAAAAATATTTAAGAATATGGTAAATGATCCTTACCCAAAAAGAACTATGGGATAACACTATGAATGAATAATTATATTACAATTATATTTCTCTTTATATGCACAATAATGATATCCCTCAACTTGAGAGGACCAAGCACACCTTAGGAAATTGTGTTCATTGTTCTTCTTTGTTAATTGTTTAACAAAATAATGTTATCGAGACGACAAAAAACACTAGTCTGTAAATTGTTTAATACTTACCCGACTACATAGCCAGTGCATTAATTCTACATCATTTCTCTGTAACGCAAGACCGAACTCCTCCTTGTAATTAAACTGAACTAATAATTGTTGAAGGCCTGCTCTTAACTATTCATCGGCATCATTAAAAGCAGGAGCAGGAGGAGTACTGTTGCCAAAAGCCATTCTAATTTGTCATTTTGAATTGAGGAAAATCTTCAACTTACGTTTGGCCGAGTATAAATTGTGTTAGGGGTGTTCATGGGCAGGGCTGGGCAGGGCATGCCCCCTGCCCGATGCCCAGCCCGAAAAATGAGCGGGCTGCATTTTGCGGCCCGCTGCCCTGCCCTGCCCATAGAAGCCCTAACCATTTTCGGGCTGGGCAATAACGGGCTGGGCAGGGCAGGCTTCCAAGCCCAAATAGTGATACCTTGGTGAAAATTTTTTTAGTTAAAGTAAAGGTATCTTATAACAATTATAAAGAAATAAATACTTGAATAAACAATAAATTCAACAAATCAATAACTTTGCTTTGTCTTAAATTGATATATCTTTTAATATAACACTAAAGTGAGCTTGCTTTTGCATCTTTGTAAGACAACCAACAATAAAAACAAACTAAAAGATACTAAACCAAATTAAAAAGATACTAAGAAGGAAGAATTACGCATACCACTAAATGTATTTATGGCAAATAAAAGAGGGGAGAATAATATATATTATTATATATTATATATTATTATAAGTATTTTTGGCAAAAAAAAAGAATTATAAATATATATATCACGGGCAGGGCCAAATGGGCAGGGCAGCATACCATGCCCGCAGCCCTGCCCTGCCCATAATATGCCCAGCCCAAAAATGCCCATTTTTCTTTGGGCTATTTTTTTTTCGGGCTGGACAGGGCCATTTTCTTGCGGGCTCGGGCGGGCATACCGGGCTAGCGGGCTTGATGAACACCCCTAAATTGTGTAATGATCACTTCCTCATTTGCCTCAACGTAGGCGTAGAATGCACCTCATTTCCTTTCCTCAGATGTCATTTTTCTTGCAGTCTATACATATTTACTTTCCCTTCTCATCATCATGCTGATTAATCTTGATTAAGCCTTCCTCATTATTTAACTCATGATCAACAGTGTATATATATTTTATGTCTGTTGGCAATATATATATATATATATATATATATAAACACGCATATAGTTTCCCAGCATCTCTCACCATCTCTTGCAGCATGTTATCAATTCCATTCCCATGAAAATACGTAAATGATTCTCTTCATATAGCAACTATGTGCAATTGACTTTATTCTAGATAAACAAGCACTAGTTCTCTCTCGTTAAAAATGCTTACTATTAAGTTTGTTTTGGTTGATTTAATGGTTTCAAGTTAGAATATTAAGTTATTGAATCTTTTCTGTATTTGTTTTATGGATAAAATTCCAAATTTCAAATGTTCGTAAAATGGTTCCTTTTTTTTTGTTTAAGTAAAACCTGAAACTCCCATTCACAATGCAAAATCAAAGTTGTATAGTCCATCAATATTTAGTACATATTGACCACTCACTGGACATCGATCATTTGCGTCTTTGTTCCTGATTATTTTGAAAGTGAAAAAGAGGGGTATTTTTTAGTCTAAAACATATGGCTTAATGAAAATTTGTGCTTCCTTGTCCCAGATTTCGTCTAAATCATTTAGAGGGGTTCTCTCCCTAACCGTACGGGCATCTCTCTCCAATTAAATCAGAGACATGGGCATCTTCACTAATATTATATTCATATTAAAATTAGGGAAAACTAATATGCAGGTCCTTATATTTTTATCCCATTTTGAATCAAGTTCCTAAAGTTATTTTTTATTTTACTGGATCCTTAATGTTTCAACCGTTATATCTGTTAATCCTTCTGTTTACAAAATGTTAAACTGATATTAAACACCATTAAAGATCTTAAGACGGTGGACGAGTGGATCAGACGTGGCAACCTATTCTCCTTCACCACTATAGAAGGCCCCGCTAGTGATTTTCAATTCCTCCCCCAAGGCCACCTGC